CTGATCATTTATGTATACATTTGTCTATATCTATCTCGATTCGTTTTGCCTGTTACAAACAACCGTTATGTGAACAAAGTTATAATACCCTTGTGCACAAGTGCGCTCGGGTATAAAAATTTTGAATTAAGTTTGTAAGTCAACACAAAATGTGATGACCACCACAATTATTACTCACATATGAATGTACCGCAATTTATTACTCAACCCACGTACCTATCTTTAGTTAGTAAAAATCCCTCTTATCACAACTGATTGCAGTAAAATCCAAAAATATATTCTCTATCTTCTCGCACAAAATACTAAATTTTTTGAGAAAATTGATGTATGTATATGTTTTATATATTTATCGTCGGCTTAGAGTGTAAACCTGCTTAATACGTTTTTTGGTAAAATTGACCTTTTGATGCAGTTCGAAGGAGTAGGCGATTCCGCGGTTAGCAAGCAAAAAAATACGTCAATACATATAAAAATATAATTGTCAAAAATTGTTTGATGAGTAACAGGCTAACCTAATATTCACGCACGCCGCCAATTTATTGTCAAAAATTTCTGATGCACATGCAACTTGTATGAGATCAACCGAAATTGAACGGCGTGCGTATGAAGCTAACTCAATTTCCAATTTTTGTTCTGCGTGACATTTTGATTTGACGTTTCGCTCAATGAAATCAAATGCAAACGCATGCAAGTCAATTTCGGGTGACGCAAAAAAACAAATTCGACGGCATGCGTACCAAAACGCAAGCCGCGAATATTAGGTTAGCCTGTAAAGCTGCTAAGTACAATCAGTTCAAATTCAAATTCTAAGATACGAAGATATTCTATCTTAGAGTATTACTTTATGCGTTTAAGCCGGTAATAGCCAGCGAATAAGCTTTAATTTTTTATATCTCAATGAAATTATTGTTACTTGTGGAACGAAACAGAAGGAAGATTAAATGCAGAAGAGTTTTCCAGCGTGTGGGTAGATTTGATAGAAAAAAATGTAGTACCAAATAATAGTTCCGGGGAGCCGATTACAGTAATTTTTTATAGCGACGAATGCACATATCAAAACCGAAACAGTATTATGGCTAATGCTTTGTTATCCACAGCGATAAATAACAATATCATTATTAAGCAAAAGTTTCTTGAAGTAGGCCATACCCAAATGGAAGCTGATTTTAACCATTCCACTATCGAACGAGCACTTAAGAAAAGAGATATCCATGTTCCTGCAGAATACATTGAAGTATGTAGATCAGCTAGAAAAAATACAAAACCATATGACGTAACTTATCTTAGTTACACGTTCTTTAAAATCTTTAACACAGTTCAATTCTTTAATAGCATTCGTCCCGGTCGCGGCAAAGATGCTGCTAAAGTAACTGATATACGAGCCCTACGGTATACACCAAGTGGCGACATACATTTCAAACTAAGATTCTCCAACGAATGGGAAGTTATACCGCAAAGAAAATCCCCAGTAACTGTTTCCTTGCCGTTTTCTCACCTTCCGAATTTATACGAGAGTTGGCGTACGATTGCTCGCAGAAAGTATGATATCTCCAGTATTTCAAACGATTACTTCCTGAAGATTACCACGCCTACTATAACAATTTACCTCATGATTGAATAATATGTATCATACTTTCTGGCATTATTGAGTTCCTACTTAAATTATCTTATATGTGGTCTTTGTACTATTAATTTGAGAGAGGAATACTTCACGTATAGTTACTAATATATGTTTTATAAACTGCCTATTTTTGTTGCAATAAACGGAAGAATAAATCTGTTGTATTTTTTTATATATATGTAATTGTTCTTATCTATGGAATACTATGTTAATTAACATTTAAATTGAGCTCGTAATCACAAAAAATAAAATAGAAACAATATTATTCATAAAAAAAACCTGCTAAATGCACTTCAATTTTGAAAATACAAAAACTAAAACCTGCTTAGTTAGAAATTCGCCAATAAAACCATAAAAACGTAATTATTTTCATTCGTTCTGGATTAGGGCCATAGAACGTCGCGCGATTAACAAACTATGTATATGTAGGATTTGCACCTTAGACTAAGAGTTAAAGATATATTTAGTTTTTTGCCTCTACAGTAAAATATGTTTTTTTGTCGTTAGCAGGTTTACACTCTAAGGCCCACTTGCAGAACAGCAGGTTATCTATTTAACTCGAAGTTTACCGGTTAAATTAATAAATTGGCTTGCACAACAGTAGGTTAGGCATTAACTCAGAGATAAAAACTTAAATATTTAACCCACAAAATTTTGAGGGTTAAATTGTTAAGTTAGTGTCAGTTCTGCCGAAAACTAGAAATACAAATAAAATTTAAATTCTTTAAATTGTGAAATATTTTATGTAAATAAATGAAAAGATGAACGAATTGGTGCATTCTGACGATGATGAGGAAATCATTGATTACGTCAACTCAGATTTCTATAATAGATCAACAGCGGAGCGAAGTGATCATTATAATGATCTGCGAGAGAAAGCATTCCACAGGAGATTTCGCTTGCAAAAGGAAAGCGTTATTTTCCTTTTAGACAAGCTTAAACCGTGGTTAGAATGCTCAAAGAGGTTGGTACTTCGGCTCAATTTATTCACATTAAACATAATACTGACTTGTTCCATAGCAATGCAATATCTCCTATGAACCAGTTACTATGTGCATTGCGATTCTATGCTACGGGTAGTCAACTCGTAACGTGTGGGGACTTCATTGGTGTCCATGAGTCTACTGCAAGCAGAATCGTGCATAAAGTTACTGATGCTATAGCACGTTTGTACCCAGAATTTATACGAATGCCGACAGAGGTAGAAGACATGAGGAAAGCTGCAGTGAAGTTCTATGAAATTGCTCGATTTCCGCGGGTCATTGGGGCTATAGATTGCACTCATGTCAGGATAAAGTCGCCAGGTATGTACATCCATATGTAGGTACAATTTATGTATTTGCAACTAGCAGGAGTAGAAACTTGTATACTTAAGTTTACTTCAATTTCAGGAGGGGAATATGCGGAAATATATAGGAATCGAAAGGGTTACTTTTCAGTAAACACCCAAGCAATCTGTTCTGCAGATTTATTGTTTACCGATGTCGTTGCAAGGTGGCATGGGTCTTCTCATGATTCTCACATTTGGGACAATTGTAATCAGCGCAGATATTTTGTTCAGGGAGCATATGGTGATTTCTGTTTGCTTGGAGATAGTGGTTATGCTCAAACCACATTTATGATGACTCCATTAGGAAATGTGAGTTCATCAGCGCAATCTCTGTACAATGAGTCACAGATAAGAAGTCGAAATACAATAGAGCGAACTTTTGGAGTTTGGAAAAGAAGATTTCCAATATTGTCCAGAGGAATCCAAGTGCACTGGAGCAGAGTACCTGGAATTATTATAGCTACTTGTGTTCTCCACAATATTGCTCGTCAACAAGCAGATCCGGATCCTGTTGTCGATGCTGAGTACCCTGCAATGATAGAAACTGTAGACAGCCGGAATGAAATACAAAATACCAACAGTTCTTCTAGAACCTCTCCAGGAAATCGGGCCCGTCAAGCGCTTATAGATCAATATTTTGGACGATTATGAATTTTATTGCTAAACAAACCCTCTGTTTCTCATATGTTGTTGAATAAACATATCCTTTAGTTTAACAAAAGAGAATTTGTTTTAATTTTTAGTTTACGGGTTTTCATTTAGTTTTTATTTTTGAACAGAGAAGCTTAAATGTAGTATATAAAGATTAATAGTTTCACTTGAATATTCACATAGTTTTTTCTTCAAGATTCGATCTTGTATCTGGACTTGTGAACATCGGACAGCCTTCATTTAAACTTCTTTTTACAAAGTTTGCCTATATTTTTCCAGCTCAAGACTTCTAATCGCCTCATTGTGCTCTAATTTCTTCTTCTTGTCCTCTATTTCCATTTGTCTCAATATCCGGTTATGTTCCCGCCTTTCTTGCTCATCGTATTCGTATCTTTTTTTCGCTTCTTCAATTTCCATTTTTCTTAATAGGCGGTTGTGTTCTAGTATTTCTTCCTTATCTTTTAATTCAATGTCTATAAGTTCTTTTTGGGCCGATACCAATGCCATTTTTTCCTCGGCTAGTAATTTAAATTTACTGGCTACTGTTTCTTTAGCGGTTGTTTGCAATTTTCGTTTACCTGAAAATTTAAGGGAATTTTACATACACTGCCGGAAAAAAGTATTGGCACAGCGAATTTTGCACAACATATGCACCAATTTGTATTATAATATTTTTCCAACAATTTTTTATAAAAATATGGTTCATTCCACAACAAAAACCATAAAAATATAATTTCTAAACTTTGTGCAAAACTCGCGAAAATTCAATAAATTTTCATGCCAATTTTCAACTTTTTAATCAGATTTTTTAGAATTTTGTGGAGTATGCAGATTTGTAGCCCAATCACTTTTATTGTAATAAAGCAGAAGTTCTAAGTAGCTGCGAATTGCGTTGATTTTTGGCAATTTTTTTCACGCAGTCCTTCCATACAAAAAAAAATGTTCGAAAATACTTTATATGGAAAAAATGCAAAACAACTTCAACAAAAAAAAATCTCAAAAATCAATACGATTCTTGACTAACTCTGAACTTGCATTTTTTTATACTAGATTTTAATGGGCTAAAAAACTGCATACTCAAAAAATTCTAAAAAATCTGATTAAAAAGTTGAAAATTTGCATGAAAATTTATTGAATTTTCGCGAGTTTTGCACAAAGTTTAGAAATTATATTTTTAGGTTTTTTGTTGTGGAATGAACCATATTTTTATAAAAAATTGTTGGAAAAATATTATAATACAAATTGGTGCATATGTTGTGCAAAATTCGCTGTACCAATACTTTTTGCCGGCACAAAGTTTGAAATATGAATTTAAATGGTTTTTGTTAGATAATGAACTATGTTTTTATAAAAAAATAATAAATGTATGTATACTTACAGTGGTGGAAAAATAAATAGGCACACGATATTTTAACAAATGTTTCTTTTATTTATTTAATATTTATTATTTTTTTATAAAAACATAGTTCATTATCTAACAAAAACCATTTAAATTTATATTTCAAACTTTGTGCAAAAGTTAAGAAAAATAAAATTTAATGGGCTATCAAACTACATACTGATAAAAAGTTTAATATTTAAATGCAATTTAGCAGAATTTTTTTAATTTTGCACAAAGTTTTAAATATGAATTTAAATGGTTTTTGTTAGATAATGAACTATGTTTTTATAAAAAAATAATAAATATTAAATAAATAAAAGAAACATTTGTTAAAATGTCGTGTCCCTATTTATTTTTCCACCACTGTATATCTTTAAAGTGATAACATTCTTCATAGTGTTTCTTCATTTGCTAAAAGTATATACTATTAGCAGCAGATTTCAAAGTTGGAATAGGTATTAAAAATCAGTTAAACCACAGAAATTGCAGATAGAGGGTGTTCAATATAAGCCCTCGATCTGATAATTTTTCAGATGTGAACAAATAAAATCTTAGAAATGGTGCAATTAAACCTTACAAATATCTCGACGCTATCGTTTACTTACGTGCCAACAGAGGATGAGGATTCTTTTTTAAATTTGCCCTATCACTTGTGAAGTATTCTTCCTTTTCCTCTTTTTGTTTCGGTTCTTGTATGGGAAGTTCATCTGTATTAAAATTAATATATCACAAATCTTAAGATAATTAAGAAAAATCACCTTCAAAATTTAAATCTGCTTCGATAGGTATTATGCCCTCCTGAGCTTTGATGAGGCTGCTATCACCATCATAAATTGTATAGCAACCGTCAATGGCAGGTCCGACTAAACCCCTCACCTTATTAAAAAGGGGGTTGTCGACACACTTAGCCATCGGTCCTCCACCTGACATAAGAATATTATTTATTCGTAACTATACACAAAAGTATAGCATATTTAAGTATACATATAAAGAAAACTACTGACCAGTACCCATGACATTTTTTTTTATAATTCTTTCTTCCGCTTCCGACTCCTTGATAATTGCCGAGAAAGCTTCCTGGCAAGCGTCCACCGGTGCACCTGTATTGCTGGCAACTTTCTCCCAACCATCAGGAGACGTACCGTACTCCTCCACGTTTTCAACTACAGTAGTCTTATCAACTAAAAAAATTTAGATAATAGCATTACAGTAAAAAGAAATTCCAAAGTGCTTGATATTCATACTCGGAATACTCATTTTTGCAGAAGATGCGTTTTTTTTAGTCTTTTTTTTTAAGTTTTTATAATTTTGTTGCAAACTTTCCATGGTGCGGCAGTATCCTGTGGAAATCGAATTGAATTCCCGCGTCACGTCTATCCACGCCTTTTGCTTTGCTAAAAGGCTGGTGCCATCGGTTTTTTTATTTTCTAGGATATGCTTATACTTTTCAATGCAATCGCACAAAAGCAAGCTCTCGCTAGTAGCAAAGTTAGGAGCCCGAACGCGTTTAGTTTGAGATTCCATGACCAAAACAAGATAGTTTTAACGAGTTGAAACTGCAGTAAAATAACTACGAAAAAATTCAATTCAATATAATGTAAAATGATGTGTGGTTTTGCATACCTGTAAGAATGCAATTATCACTTTGTAAATCCAATGGTGAACAATTAAGCACATACATATATTTAATTAGAAGTAATAATTTTTTTTTGCATTCTATTCTGTTATTGAATGAATATTTGTTGAGCTTTTGGCAATATTATTTTTATTTCAAACATCAAAAAAATTTCAGTATTCAAAACAAACGACAAAAACGGTTTGTGATGCCAACAAAATTAAAAATTGCCCGACAGTAACTTCGTTTACTTAACTCTGTGTCGATTTTGTTAGCTGCAAGACATTGTCTGAGTTAAATAAATAAAAGTTTAACTCTGAGCTACTTATTTCTCTATTTATATATTTAACTCTGGATGTTCTGCAAGTGGGCCTAAGGCGACGTTATGTTGTTGATAAAGAAAAAAATAAAATAAATAAAAAATAAAAAAGTTTTTCAGAAAAAGACAAGAACGGATTCGTTTTGAAGAAAAAGTTGAAAAAAAACTACCGATATTTCGGAGTTTTTCATAGATCTTTGACAAATAGAAGGCATTTAATCGTAACGTAATTTTTACCAAATTAAAGGTGAGGCTTATACCTGTTAACAATGCGACTCTCCTTTGACCTATACACTGAACATTTCTGTAAATAAAATTCAAAAATTACAATTTTACGGCTCATCCCGTTTCGTCCTTCGAAAACCAAAATGGAGCACATGCGAGCAAATTATTTTTGCTTTAATTGCTCAAATATAACTGTAGTTACATATATTTCAAGGAACAAAACTTTGACAAACCTTGAAAAGTAAACAAAAGTACCAATATTTAAAAATATTATTCAACGAAAATATCCAAGGCCATATTAAAAGCAATTTACTTAAATTTAATCTTAACTGATAGAAATGGCCTTCTTCTTCCATGTTCAAAAGGTTTTCTCCTGAAATAGGTCTTCACTAAAACACAATTGCCGAAGAAAGAAGTAGAACGACTTAACTCACCTCAAACGTTTCTCGCATGTCATGCAGATTCATCTGCACATTCCCGCTGATATTCAAAGTCAGCAAACTTCTTAATCGCCGCACTGATTGCGGCTCCAGACGTACCAGCTTATTGTAGGACAAATCCAGGAATGTCAAATTACTCAAATACTGAAACGAGTCATTGGGAACTTTCGCCAAACGATTGTAGGACAAGTCTGTAAATGAGAATATAAACAGACGCAGTAGCACAGCAGGCATAGTGAAGTTTTAGGCGCGAAAAAATATTACAAATACACAGGCATAGTCTTAGCTAAATAAGTTTATACAATAAAAGCTCAGTTAGTCTAGACTTAACTTAATTTAACTACCGTAAGAAATCATCAATGATTATTCAACACGTCAACTGAAGCCAGAAGCGGATATATTTTGTTTTTGTATTTTCTCCTTAATATTACGTTCTCATGGAGTCACTAACTCGAGTTTAACGTTTTGAGTTTATGAACTACTGTCAAGCGTTCACATTGGGGTGTTTAAGAAACTCCAGAGTTTAACTTTACATTTTTTTTTGTTTACTTTTTCTTATTCTCATTTAGTCTGTTCCCGTACTACAGGATCTAACACACAAGTCTAGAATACCAACCGTTTAGCGGTGACAGGTAACAAGATCAACGGAAATAAGGTCAATTGACACTATTTCCCACCCTGGAGCGAAATAAAGTCAACTGACATTATTACCTTTTCAAAAGCGAAATAAAGTCAACAAAATTTGGAAATAAAGTCATTGACCCTATTGTCTCATTCAAATGGAAATAGCGTCAACAATGCTTAAAGTATGTCGATTCATAAAAAAAATGTTGTTCTTACAATAAATATTGCCCCGTAAGTGTGAAAGAATTCTGCGTTTTAAATTAGCATATTTTGAACGAATTCGGAATATCTAAGGTGGAAAAGAAACCAGCCTTTCTACAAGGAAACAATTACAGAAAAGGAATTTTCTTACACTGTATTCATGTCTCCGCCAGCAATTTGTGACGACATCATTTAAAAGCAGCTAAGGAGAACGACGACACTATTTATTAGATGGCACATTCAAGCCAATGTGCCAAAATGCGGGTATAAACAATTACTGATTATTTAATATCGGAACCGAGATCATGTAAGTTAATTGATTGGTTTTCACACACTTTTGAAACACAAATTATATGCTTTTTTACTGCAGACAAGTTGTTGCCAAAACATAGCAGAAATCTTCCAATAACTTACAAATATAAAAATGTGAAATATCGAGGGCCTAAGTTCATTAATACCCTCTTTTCGCAATTTGCACCAAAACTTATTTGTGATTTTAGAAACGCGGCTGCGTAGCGTGACTAGGAGAGGCGCGCGCGGACGCGGGCCGCCGCGAAGCAAATTTAATGTTTGAAAGAGCATTAATGTCAATGGATTTTATTTCGCTTTGAAAAAGGTAATAATGCCAATTGACTTTATTTCGCACCAGGGTGGGAAATAAAGTCAATTGACCTTGTTACCTCTCACCCCGTTTAGCTATAAAAAAAACAAGAAATGAGGATCGATAGAACCTTTTACGCTAATTTCAACAATACCAACATTTTTTGGTGCAAATAAAAACCAAAGTCAATAAAGGAGGTTAAAGTTCAACTTATCTGTTTCTTATGTGTTTAATATCTCGGAAACTACTTAACTGATTAAAAAATTAGTGATGGTAATTTCAACATAATTTAAATGCCTTTTATGCGACGTATATAGTATAACCAGTTTTAAAACTAATTTTATATAAACGCCATTTAAAAAAAATTATTTTTATTTTATTTTGTTTTTTTAGTATTTCCGGACTAAAAATACAAAAAATCATATAAATTATATACATACATGAAAGACCAATTAATTGTCTTTATTTTGACATCATTAGTTTTTTAATAGGTTATGGTGTTCAGAAGATATTAATATTTAAAAAAAATCAGAAAATTTAACTTTAACCATTGATATCTTCTTTATATTTTCCTTTGGCCAGATAGGGTTGGGTTGAAATCAGCACAAAAAGTTCAATCGAGCCACATTTTTGGCTTTTGCATCGCTAGATTGTTGATATTCTAGACTTATGTGCACAGAACGACCTCGGACTAATTCTGATTAAATCCTGCAGTACGGAAACAGGCTAACTGTCGGAAAGTTGGTTTCAGGTTTGGGTTATCAAAGACACAAACCAAATCGGGTCAAAAAAAGGGTTGCATTCGCATAAACTCCAAATAAAAGTGGTGTGTAAGGAGAGTTTAACGATACTTCTTGTATGGTAAAATTCGAGTTTAAGAGCTCTTCTCCAAAATGGCCCATAAACTCGAGTTAATGGCTCAATGAGAATGCTTTATAAGCTGTTTGACCGTTTACCGTCTAAAATGCCAAACGCTAAAAAATATATTTGCGTTCACTTCTTTTTGAGAAATACAAAAACGAGAATCTGGCAAGCCTGATTCTCTCACCGCTCTCAATTTCCGTAAGGCCGTAGCTTAAGAATCTAAAAGCTACAGGTTCTTAAGTTGCTTACGGCAAGTTAAGTTTTAACTAACCGCCAACACAGTTACTGAAATTAAGTCTATACTAACTGATCTTTAACAGCCCTATTCTAAACGCAATCAGCAAACATATACTTGTTTATACCGACACATAAAGCGTTTTGCCCCGGTTCGCTGTGATTTAAAACGGAGGCTTAAACCAAATTTCAATACGCTCAGAAATTCAAAAGTGTATTGACTCGCATTTGTTTTGGAATCGGTTTTTTATTTCTCAAATCGATTAGAAAACACGTATAAATATATTCAGCCTTATCACGAGTTTCATATTCCCGAACCGGTTCACTTTTCACTTTTCGTTTCCATGTATTTATTATGGGCAGGATACAAATTTTCGGGAGAATTTTTTTTCGGGTGAAACTTAGGATAAGGCAGATTATTCATTTGACTCGAAGTGAAAATATGCTGGTTTCTTATAAAGTCCATTTTAAATTATAATTATTATTTTAACAAATTTTAATTATTATTCCCTTCCATTTCGGTGAACCGTGCAAATTAATTATTAAACAAGTAAGAGCAGCACTGTCTTCGGCTATGCCGAAAGCTTCATACCTTTCATCAACATCTGAAAATTTTACTTTAACAGATTACTGCATTTGAAAATATTTATATATTCACAGCATACATAGATAGAGGAGATACATACATAAAGGACACCGCAAAAACCTGTATCTGAACAATCAGTGGTATAAGAGATAAAGCATACAGCTTAAATTTTGACGATTTTCTCAGTAGACTTTGTATTATTATTTATAAAATAGCTTACGAAATTTAAAGGTTTTAGCCGTCCAAATAAAGGAGTTTTACAGTAAAACCCCATATCTGAATAATCAGTTGTATGGAGACAATAAATAGGTTATAGTGACCCGATCTATGTTAATTTTACTGTAAACTTTCTATTGATAACACTGGACCACAAATTTCAACTTTTTCTCTTTACCAGAAACGCCGTTATGAAATTCTTATGTAAAATCACCCCCTGATTCCGAAAATCAAGGTTATTTTTAATTCTATGGTACCGTTTTTGAGATATTTGCAATTTACCGTTTTTGCAAAAAAAAAAA